CTTTACAAATGGTGATTTCTATTTCTAGCCTGACTAGCAGTCCTGGGAATTAAAGTGCAACCTCTTTCCTGTCAGGGTACTGGCTGGTGTGCACAGCAGTGTATAATTCGGCAGGCCTTCCAGACGGGGGGACGGCGGCTGCCACTCTGCAGAAAAGGGTGGATTTTTGTCAGCTGCTTAAAGGACTAATGTAGCAGCTCCTCCCCATGCAAAGCAGAGGCTCTGGATGTTATTTGTGACTCAGTAGGTGGCACTCTGTTTCTTGAGTCAGCCCCGAGCCAGTGCTCCTGCCTGGGCTTGGTAGAGCAATTGGATTTGTGTTTGGTTTTGGTCTTAGCAAGATATAGTTCATTGAAGAGCTGTTCCTGCAAGGTTAGGAAGGTCAGCCATGGTGTCTGAGCTAGGATCCGTTGCTGGTGAGAATATCTTGGCTCCCTGACATTTTCCGTTAGATGCGTTTTTATTTTTGCTTCCTTTCGGTGCGCTGTCAGGCAGCTCCTCAGTTCAATCCAGAGTTGGCTGCCTTTCAGCAAAAGCTGAAAACATCCAAAAAGCTTTGTTAATTTAGAGGTGAGGTTGCTCAAGTCTATTTTCTCTTGACAGTGCAAACACTACCAGGCAAGAAGAACAGAAGTTAAGGCCACAAATGTGCCCCATTCAGGGACAGTCTTTGAATACTAGACTGACACAGTAATGCCAACCAGACTAACCTCTGCGATTCATTATTTTCAGTCCAGCAATCACTATGCTTCCCGAGCTCAAGCACTGTAGATGGTTACACTGCATCAAGGTTTTGAAAAAGCAAGGTTTATTTAATAAAAAAATGACATCTGAAAGTGATAGTCCTAGCCCGTTGTTACATTATGCATTAGATAGATAGAACAGAAGGCTGATCTAACTTTCTAGTTCAAAAAACACAAACTAATGCCTATGAAGTGTTCATACTATCAAATCAACTATGGGTTACCAAATACGTTTAAAGAACATATATCCATGAAGTGTCTGTGCCTACACTAACTCTCACATTCTGTTATAACTAAATAATATATCAGGAATTAACAGATCAGAGGTAGAGATGCATGTTACAATGTGATTTTCAGCTGTAGGAAGTGTGCGTAGAGTGAGAGCGTAGTAGTGAAAACAAGTATGTTACAACAACAAGGTGTCTGGTTTATATAGTGCTGCCTGTTCCCTGTGCTGTGAGCTGCTCAGTCTCACTAAGTCAACTGTAATAAAACACAGGTAGATGTCCGTGAGACAAATCTCTGTTCAAGCCATACGACAAGTTTCTGATCTGGTCAAACTCAGGGATCAAGTTCAGATCCTAACCTTTAATTTGCCTCAGACTTCGGTGAGCAGATCCCATTCTCTCAGCATTGCCATGTGGCTCCTCTAGCTGTACGGCAGGGATAATAACTCCATCTGCCTCTCATGGGTGCTGTGGAGCTAATTTCATCACTGTCAGGTCTGTGGAATCCCTGGATGAAAGGAGCAACAGAAATACAGAAAGCATGGGTTATTAACAGCTGGTGCTTGCCCTTACGTACATCACATGCACTGTTACTCGTTCTGGCCAATAATTTACAGGGAGTGAAAAGGTGTTCCTCAGCGTAAATGCAGAGTGACGCATGGATGGTATTAGACCTCTGAGGTGTTGCAGTCCCTGAGACTCTATTCAGTCTAAATTCAACGATGCTGCCCTGAGCAGATCATACTTAACCCCGGAATAAAAGTAAAATATGCAGGAGCCGTGGAATCCTCATAGTTAAATTTTGACTTCTAGGAAGTTTGCATTTCAGACAGGTGGATTTGCCATGCTGCAATAGTGTGTAGACCAAATTCTTGGTGTTTTTCAGCTTTTTACACCTCTCTCCTAGAGTCTGAAGGTTATCTCCTCCCTGTCACTTTGGATATCCTTTTATTAGCAGTTAGAGCACTGGATACAAAGGTTTATTTTCTATGTTTTATAAGTGATAGCTTTTAAATATTAAAAGCAAAGGAAGTCTGTGACAATACTCTTGAATCACTAGTATACACCTGAGAGGAATTATGGTTTAAGAAACACATGGAAATGATTTTTAGCACCTCATCTCTGCTTGTCCACGTTGCAAACCTTGATTCTCTGTGGACAGCTCAGCAGCAGAACAACACTGGAAGCTGCAGACTGGGACTGAAAAGCATGCGTGAAGTGAGTTTGAGGATCCTGAAGTCAGAGTAGCAAGCAATGCTGTAGATCAGGATGCAGGAGCACTGACCATGGCATGACCAAGCATGACTATAAGGGAGTGGGGGAGCAGGGAGTGGCTACAATCAGGCAGGAAGCGTTCACTAAGGCTTGTGCGTGGAAGGCCTCTCACCTGAACTGTGAGCAGTCCGAGCCAGTGTTGCCATTGTCTCCAGTTGCCACTGACCACTGAAATTGCCAGCTAACAGAAATAAGGGCCAAAAAAATCCAATGATCGCTGAAGAAAGCCACTTACCTTTACATCTCTGCGTATCTGGCCACGTCTGTTCCATGCTGTTCATTTGAAATTTGGGGAAAAAAAATTTCTTTGTGCATATCTGCTTTTGCATCCCAACAGGCAAATTAAAGGTGACTGAGAGATTTTTTTTTTTTATGATCGCTGAAGAAAGCCACTTACCTTTACATCTCTGCGTATCTGGCCACGTCTGTTCCATGCTGTTCATTTGAAATTTGGGGAAAAAAAATTTCTTTGTGCATATCTGCTTTTGCATCCCAACAGGCAAATTAAAGGTGACTGAGAGATTTTTTTTTTTTGGTAATAGTATACACACTGCTTCCAGACTTCCTGCTATTGTGTGATTATCTAGATTAATTGACTAGGAAAGCTGTGGCGTCATCTCAGGCCCTTAATAAGGAAGACCACAGCTTAGATTTATGTTTATTACTCTCTGACATATTACTGTATGACATGGCCCTGCTCTTGGAAATACCTAGTGCCGGGTGTCTACCAGCATCTACTTCACTTTTATACTAGGTGAAGGATTGCATGGTATCTTGCCTGCAGGTGCATGACACCTTGAAAGCAAGACAGAGGTGGTTGATGAAATTTTTAGAAACGCTGTTAGTGCCTAACTTTGCTCATATTAAAGTCAGTTGCCATCAGCCTCCGTTGAATATTTCTGAAAACTGTAGATGTGCTGGTTTGTGACCTTGTCTGTACATGTGTAATAGTTGGAATCTTAAATATGCTTTATAGGTCCTTCAGAGTGTTATGTTCTTATCAGGGAGAGATAATCTATACAGAGAACATTTCTGAGGCATATTCTGCGCTTTTTATTTTGCTTTTATGAGTTTAACAAGCTTAAGATGAGAGGCCAGATCCTTATTTGGCCTGAATGGATGTCATGCCATAGACCTCACTAGAGCAACATTGTTCTGCGGGTGCTCAGAGTCTGGTCCAAGGCACCAGTTTAAGCTGAACAATTATTACCAAATCTAGATTCTGAGGATCTCCATTTCTCCTGAAACATTTTAATGTTTTGGCAGTAATATGTTAGATAGATAGGCAAGCAGCACGTGTATGTCCTCCTTCTGCAGACCCTACAGTTTCCTTTATTGCATCACTGTAAATCCAGAGTGACCCCATTGAATTCACTGGTGGTGAGGTGATCTGGTTTAAAGAAGAGCCAGGTCTCTCCCTCCTGTTTGAGTCCGTTAGCATTGTTAACTTGCTGTCACCTTTTTCACGCTCTGTTATTTGGTACTCAATAGATTAAGAGTAATATAAACAGCCTGCCAGTTTGTGTGACTGACTGGAAGAGCCACTGCAGTTTTCTGCATGTTGCATCTTAAGGTTTAAGCAACCAAACCCAATAATCAGCTTGCTCTGTACATTTTGTGCGTTTACTGTGACAAGTGCATCTGAATTTAAATTATTCGTGATATCTCACAGTGTAATAGTAACTGCCCTGTAGTATACAATGTAGAACTGATGAAATCTTGGTAATATGAAACCACAGTACTTTGGCATCTCTACCTGTGAAACATCTGGAGGGGATTGGGGCACCACTATGTTAGGCAATGGGGCTTCTTTATGAAACTCCTCCACAAAGTATGAGACCCAGAAAAATTTTAAGTTCTCACTCTGAGTGAGTTGCAGCAACATCATGCAATTGTTTATCTTTTACACTAAGACCTGGGGAAAATCTTAAAAATAAATAAATAAGTAAATAAGGGACTATACACAGACTGTGTGTCCCTTCAAAAATCAAAATGAATGTAAGGGCCACAGAATAATATTGACTTGCCGCTAAGGAGAAGATAAGCCTCTTAGAGACTGTGTTTTTTCATGGCACAGTAGTTACATGTTGTCCATGCTTGCTTTTAAAATGAAATATGTACAGGCACATGTGTCTGAGCTTTATTGGTCATTTCTGTACAACATGGAAGTCTATGGAGTCTTGACTAAACTCTTAAAGTCCAAGCTCAGCGTAAGCTTGGCTCAGCAAGAACACACCGAACACTCGGGATCCCAGCAGGATCTCCAGTTGCATCCTGATCCCAATGCTGTCAGTATTAGCTGCTTCTGAAAAAGGATCAGACAGTAGGAGCAAGCCCGATGGTTTTAACCTCAAGTGGTTATATTGGCATGCTGACTTTGTGCCCTCCCAAATATTTGTTCTGTCTCTCTTTTCATAATACTCACTGTGATAACGGGTGTAGTCCATATCGTATGTACAAATACTTCAGTCTCTCCTTGGGTTGCCCTGAAATCCCAGAAAGAGTTTTGAAGTGAATATATCCAGCCCTGTAGCTGATTCTTCTCTGTACCCTCTGAGCCAGAATATGAGTGCCCCTATGATATTGAGCACTTAATTACATTAGTAACTTGTGTGCTGGGAATACATCTGGCAGAGAGCAAAGCCTACGAAATGAATGATGATACAGATGTATAAAGCAGATCAGTTCTGTTGGCCTGGGCTCCCTGTTCTCTCACTCTATGGCTGATCTCACATGTCTCTGTCTTGCTGTCCAGGTTTTACTGGGATTTGACCATGCTGCTCCTGATGGTAGGGAACCTGATCATCATACCTGTGGGCATCACATTCTTCAAGGATGAAAACACTACCCCATGGATTGTCTTCAATGTGGTCTCAGACACCTTCTTCCTCATCGACCTTGTCCTCAACTTCCGAACAGGCATTGTGGTGGAGGACAACACAGAGATCATCCTCGACCCACAGAGGATCAAGATGAAGTACCTGAAGAGCTGGTTTGTGGTGGATTTTATCTCCTCCATACCCGTGGACTACATCTTCCTGATTGTGGAAACCCGCATTGATTCTGAGGTGTACAAGACAGCCCGGGCACTGCGCATCGTGCGCTTCACTAAGATCCTCAGCCTCCTGCGGCTCCTGCGGCTCTCCCGACTCATCCGCTATATTCACCAGTGGGAGGAGGTGAGCAGAGGCTGTGGTGCACATGCAGTCTTAATCTCTTCTCCACTTACCCTACTCTTACACAAAGGCACTTCCACTGAATGCCCATTCTCCTACTTTATCGCTGTGTAAATGCTAAAGAAACACATGTTGAGTGTAACACTTGCTTTTAGCAGGTTCCCAAGAGGGCCTTCAGTATATTGTTACTTAGTCACTTGAGACTATACTGTCTCCTTCAGAGTCATTGTACAATCTGGGGTGATGATGCATGGTCTGAGAGGTGAGTAAGTACAGGTGGTTCCCCTGAAGGAAGTGTGAAGTTGCAGAGCTGTAGAGCTGTATAGTTGTGAGGGGAGCAGTTAGGCAGACAGCTCAGTCTTGCCTCTCAGAGACCAAAAGGGTCTAGAGACAGCCCAGAGGAGGGGTCTAGAGACGGCTGATTTGCAGGAACCTGTGATATTTGTTTTACCCACGCAACTTCCTCTATTACACGCTTATCACTTGAAGAAATGGTTAGGTGATGTATTTATAACCTTCTTGCTTTCTAAATTCTCTGACACCATAGTAATGGGAAGAGGAAAGAAAAGGCAATCTGCAGACAAATAGGGTCTGCTTAAAGACATAGCAACCTAGTGTAAAGCAAGAGCACCTACGACCCCTGGGCCCTGGGCTAGTCCCACGGAAGTTCCAGTACACAGGACAAGTTGTCAGGCTTGATGTGAGTAGAGCCCGATCTTACAAATAACTTATGATTGAGTTATTTTTTCCTGTCTTAGTGCTCTCCAAAGCAGAGAGAGAGTTCTCTGCAGCTTGTTCATGTCAGGAGCATATTTTCAGGACAAGGAAAGCTTGTCAAGGCAGTTTCATCTTCTTCCCCAGTCTTTCTCCTCTGCCTTGGACCTCAGCCTAATGCAGAGCATGATCTAATGCCAAGTGTGCTCCTGGGAATGTTAAGGGAGAGTAGCCATGCAAGTCATGGATAGATCACACCAACCTGCCGGAGCACTAATTCATGGCAGAGCAGGACTGTTATTTCCGCACAGCGTCACAGACTAAGAGGGAGGGCATTGGTACACACTCACAAATTCCAGGCTTCATCTCTATGTTATTATAAATTGTGAATGTTTCACTTAACAGCAGCACACAATGCCTTGCTGAAGTTTGGGACCTCATTGTACAAGGTGCTGTAAAGGCATATATAGGGTCAGCCAGCGATAGCCCAGAAGAATTCACTGCCAGGTTAATTTGCTTCATAGAAGAGACAGGCAGGAAGTGCACAGAGAGGTGGAGAGGCATAAAGTGGAAGTGTCTTTCTCAGTGTGACTCAGTGAGTCAAATACTGAGCTAAGCAATGAAACATCTCCAAGTCTATTGTCTTGTCCCTTGGTTGCATCGCTTCTCTGTTGTGTAATAGGGGAATGCTCAGGAAAGGGGAGTCCGTGGCTTAGGCCATTGTTAAACTAGCTCCTTTATACTGGTATACATGTAGCCATGGCAGGGCAGAGCTCAGCACTCACTTGTCTCTGCTCCTTGACTTCCTTTCCATAAGGTGGTTGAAGAGGAGTTACCTATGTTTGCTGTTGATTGTACTGAATTTTTTTTACAAAATAATCAAATGAAGGCAAATCAGCACTCTTTCACTGTCTTGCTTCCCATACAATTTCACTGAGCAGCCATTTCTAATTTCAGTCTCATAATACAACTAGGTGGGGCATCTTGCCCTTTTGCTGGCTGTTGTGGGCACCAGGGGACTGCCTAGCCAGACGCCCTGTGGATCCCCCCTGAAGAACAGACTCCTTGGAGTGATGCAGTGCTGCAAGTGGAACGGACAGATGGTGTTGAATTGCAGTTTGAGACTGCAATGCAGACTCTGTTATGCATAGCAGAGCCCAGCAGAGCAAACATGATAGTCTTTTCTTTCAAACAGGGCTTGACCCAAGTAACAATTTCCTACAGAGAGTGTGATACTAGGAAGTTTTTCCCTTTAGGGAGGTAAGCAGAGAGAAGGGTCAGTCTCTTGTCACTGGTGCAGCACATGCTACAAAGCAACAAGCAGACAGGGAGAGAAGTGCTTCTTCGTCTTTGTATGGGAATAATCTGTTGTGCTGTGTGGAATCACACTGATAGTTCTTTCTTTCTTTCTCTTCCTCTGAAGTGCTTGTAGATGATCCCTCTCTGAAAGTTCACATTTGGCCTTTTCCTCACTGCATAGATTAGTGGCACAAATCACAGTGGTGATTTGGAAGTGCTAATTCCTGCAGGATGGAGCAGTATTGGCCTGGACTTCTTCTGGGTATATGCAAAGGGCAGGTTGGTGTGCAGAGTTAAAGAAGGAGGAAGACTGTTGGGAGAAGGCATTGCTGAAGAGAGACTTCTATACGTCCTCCCCCACACTTTTCAACTATATGTCTCATCTGCTAGGTAGCATCCTTCCCTCTCAGGACCTTCACATATGAGTAGATGAGCTAAAAAAGATGTTTGAGTACGGCAGGCTGGCCTAATGGAGAAGAGTACACGTAGAAACGGTAAGAGGGGGTGTAGCGCAGTCTGAGGCAGAATTAATACAGGTGGATGGACTAGTCAGAGAGGGGGAGTTGTGCACTGTGGCTGGAGAGAGCATCCCAGCTCACCTGTACTGAGCTTACGTAGTGACTTTTGATGAAGCAGTCACTACTGCCAAGGAAAGCTTAGCTCCCTGCTTACAACTACTGCTGACACGCTGGGTGCTCTGTGAGGAGAAGAGGGGGATCCAACATACACAGAGATGTCAATCTCCTTGCTCTCTGACTCCTGTATGAACATTTCGTCTAGGCATTAGTGTCACTCTGAGTAAGTACAGGGATAAGTGGTCACTTCCTGAGTTCACAGTAAGCCTCTCTGTTTCTTCCTCTGCAATTGTCCATGCTCTGCATGAATTTATCACTCACCCTGCAGTGAAGAGGGAGCAGCCTTCTCTAAGGCTGCAATGCTGTAAAACAGCCAGCTACTCATCAGTTCCAGATCAATGCTAGTCATGAGTCTGTGGGCTCGAGAGCTAGTGGTCTGAGTGCCTGCATCATTCTGTCTCATCGCAGACTACTCTGACATCCTTCCCTAGATCTGAAGCAAGTGCTTTGGGGTCTACAGCTGGGCAAACACCCTAAAGAAGAAGAAGAAAAAAAAAGAAAAACAATCCAGCGTGCTAATATTCACTAGAGTACGAAAATAAGCTTAATTCCAAATGTAGCAGTTTCATTTGCATTATCCATTTTGCATGAGTGGTCTAACGAATGAATTTACCAGTAGGGCAAAATATAAATAGAGTCTTTTTGAAGTGTCTGCCCATATCTACCCTGCAGTAGGAAGCTTGATTGCAGTGTAGGAAGGCATACTTGCTTTGACTTGAGCCTAGCTTGCTTCAGTATCATATTTTAAACTTCACTGTCTCCTAGTTATCATCAAATGCATCAGCAGAGATCCGGGGAGCTGGCACAGACTGTGCAAGAGCCCCTTCTAGAGCTGTACTGCAAAGGGTGGCACAAACACAGGTAATCCAGTCATGTCCTGGTCACACTTCTCATTGCTAAATGGGAGTAGTCCAGAAATGGCCAAACTGGAGATTATAAGCACTTTTTATGTGGCTTCTCTGCTTTCTCACATATCTGGCAAAGTGGCTTCTTACTGAAGAATCTGAGTTCCTGCATAGGGCAGCAAAAGGCTGGAAGAAACTGGAGATGATATATTCTGATTGCCCAGAGAAGCAAGCGCGTGCCCAGCCCAACCCCAGTTCACAAGGGCAGACAGGATGGCACCCCAGGCAAGCTCTTGTCATCTTGACCTTTGAACCGCTCCCACAGCTCTTCAGGGCTTTGGGATAGGTCAGTGGTTCCTGACCATGTAAAAATGGGGGGACATGCAGCTCACCAGTTGTGCACTGTGGCTGGAGAGAGCATCCCAGCTCACCTGTACTGAGCTTATGTAGTCAGGGAGCTGGTCCTCCACGATGTTGTCTCTGAGAAAATGTTCAGAGAAAGCAGACCGAACATGTACACCCCACAAACCTTATCTCAAGGTCAGCCAGCAGAAATAATAAAAGCAGAATAATACCATGTAGCCCATATAGCCAATCAAAATGAATCAATGTAGTTCAGATTGTGAGGGCTGAGCAAAAAATTCCCTTTAGGTTTTCATAGGCAAAATTGATTGAAAAAAATGTTTTCTAAGACCAATTTGCTGAGCTTTCCCTATTTTTTGTGCAGCATCTACCCCAGTGTTTGGTGCCAGAATGCAGTAACCTGTATTTAAGATCAAATTATTGTGACTTGCAATCAAGGAACATTTATTAGGACAATAGTAAAATCCTGCCCCAATAAATCTGTTTCCAAATAGCAAATGGGCTAAGATAACCAAAATATTTTGATTTCAAAATCTGTATATGTGAGGGAATATGGAGGGAAGGAAAGGAATTAACTGGTTTTGATATTTATCACAATGATAAATGATTACCACAAGTGAGAGATGTTTTCAGTTTTTTATTGGAAAAAAGTTACAATTTTTTAATTTTGGCAACTGAAAGCTGAAGGAAAGGTGATTTTCAGAGTATTACTTAAATGCAAACTTGGAAACCTTCCTTAATGCTTTTCTTCTTAACCTTTTCTTCCATTGAGCGTGCATATAAAACAGAAGTTTTAGAATGAGGGAAATGCATCTTCTCAGGATCTGTTACTGGCCATAGATTACATCCTCTGAAAGATGGCATCAGTTTTAAGAAGATTCAGAGATATTCAGAAAACTTGATTCCAAGGGTAGAGGGCGTATGTAGAAGGACTAGGAGAGAGCTTCCAAATATTATAAGAATATAGCTCCCAATCGATTTTCATTTAGATTTGAACAGCTAATTCCCTTAGGTTCTTCTGACCTATGTGTAGCCTTCCTTAAATTAAAGTGGCTAGCGGCCTGGGGGATGCAATTTTAGGCTAAACACTTAACTGGCTCCTGCGAGTGGAGGAGCTAGGCAAAATTATTGCATCCAGGGGGCACGG